AAACTATATGAAAAAAATGGAATAGTCATAGCACAGTAAAGTAGAACATTGAGTCAATGCAATCCTATATAATAAAAGGTTAATATGCAAATCGACCAAATGTCAGAACAACTGGTTGCTATGACACACACTGACCATCGGGGGCAGAAGCTCATGGCAGGTGCTCTCCACTGGTGGTCAGTTCACTCCCACAGGGACTGAGCCCCTCAGTCAAAAGCCAGGCTCACAGCTACCTAGCACAGGGGTTGGGGGGAGCCACCACGGCTGACCTAACGCGGTTTTAAGTCATCAGTTGGATATCCCTAAAGGGGTCCCGGACTGGTAGAGGCACCAGAATTGGCTGAGCGACTCCCCACAGTGCCTAGAGTTTGTGCACTGAGCTTCTAGTAATATTATAACTCTGTGTGGTGTCAGATGGGTATGAGGATAATGGCATGATTTCTTACTCCATTATATAATGTCTAATCATTGGGGTGTACCCCTGAAATGAACGTAAGATTGTATGTCAACTGTCATTTAAAAAATGTTTATAAATTCCATAGGACTATGTTACCTTCATAGAGTCATATTTTACCTTAAGTATATTGTATACAGGTTCTTCTAGAAGAGAGATCAAAATCTAAAAATGAAAGAAGAGTTGAGATTTATAAATTAGCAAAGGAAACCATAAACACAATCGTAAAAACCATTAAGATGAAAGCCGAGGTAAAATGCGTTTGGAGACCCCATTCCCTGTCTTTCGATTCCAGGACCTAAGTAGCGAGAGGCTCTGAGAAGCTTTGGCTCTTGCTCCTTGGCCCACGGAGGGGTCATGGCCGAGCTCCCATCGAAGGTACACGTCACCAGGCACCCCATCTGCCTGAGGGTATGTGGTCACTCTGTGTATGTGGACGAGGACCAGCGCACGTGGCTGCATCTCGTCATGGAGACAGGTGTCCTGCAAGTACGGTTGCGCCAGGAAGACATCCACAGTGGGCATATCCCACTAACTACCAGCCCACAGACCTCAAGCACCATGCCTTCTTGGTGGACACTCCAGTTTGGCAGCCGGTACCTGGACCCCATGGGCCGGTTCTGGCGCATCGTCCACCACATCAAGGAGAATGGCCTGGAGGAATTGATACTTAAGCTGATGAACGACTACTAGTACACGTGATGGGGTCCCTGACCCTTGTCAACATGAGCCCCAGTCCACCTGGCCTGTTGGTGGGACGTGTATAGTTCTGTTCACATTTTTACTAAGCTCTGTG